GCACAAGAGGGAAGAGGGTCAGAGGGAGAAGCAGACTCCCTGCTGAGCAGGGAGCCTGATGTGGGACTCGATCCCGGGACTCCAGGATCATGACCCGAGCGAAGGCAGTCACTTAACCAACTGAGCCACCCAGGCACCCTAAAATTCTCTATTTTAATCACTTAAAGGTATACAGTCTGGTAGCTTCTAGTACATTCACAGTGTTGTGCATCCATCACCACTAACTCCAGAACACTTTGATCACCCCAAAAGATAATCCCATACCAGTTAAGCAGGTATTTCCCATTTCTTCTCTCCTCAGCCCTAGTAACCACTAATCTGCTTTCTGTCACTGTGGATTTGGCTATATTCTATACATTTCCTGTAAATAGAATCATACAATACGTGGGCTTTTGTGTCTGACTTCTTTCACTTAGCATAAGGTTTTCAAAGTTCATCCATTTGTAGTATAAAATCACTACTTTATTCCTTTCTGTGCTGAATAATACTCTTTCAGTGGATAATACATTTTACTTCTCCATTCATCAGTTCATGTATATTTGTATTTCCATTTTTTCATTATTATGAACATTGAGGTACAGGATGTTGTGTGAACATAGGTTTTTCGATTCTCTGTACCTAGGAGTGGGATTACTGGATCAACTGGTAATTTTATGTTTAGCTTTTCGAGAAACTAGTCAACTGTTTTCTGTAGTGGCTCTACCATTTTGTTTTCACCAGCAACGTATGAATGTTCTGACTTCCACGTCCTCACCAACATTTGTCCCCCCAACCTCCGCTTTTAAAAAAAATGCAGCTGGGGTGTTTGTGAAGTGGTTTTCATTTTCATTCAATTTGGGGAGTATTGCCATCTTAACAATATGAAGTCTTTCAATCCTTGAACACAGGATGTCTTTCCATTTATTTAGATCTTCCTTAATTTAAGCATTGTTTTGAAATTTTTAGTCTTGCAGTTCTTGGCACCTGTTTTACATTTCCTTTAGTTAAATTTATTCCTTTGTATTTTATTCTTTTGAATGCTTTTGTAAATGAAATTACTTTCCTGATCTTAAGAGGAAAGCATTTCATCATTAAGTATGACGTTAGCTGCTGGATTTTCCTACATTTCTTTTACCAAGTTTAGGGAAATTCCCTCTATACATAATTTGTTGAATGTTTTTATCCTGAAAAGGTGTTGCAGTTTGCGAACTGCTTTTTCTGTATCAATTGAGATGACCATGTGGTGTTTTTACTTTTTTCTTTAAATATGTTGTATTAATTGATTCTTGCCTGTTGAACCACTTTTGCAGTTCTGGGATAAATCCCACTTGATTGATTATGGGAATATTCCACATAATACTCTATTGGATTTGGTTTGCTTCTAGTATTTTGTTGAGGATTTTTGCATCTGTATTCATAAGGGACATTTGTTGAGTACTTTTCATTTTTTGTGATAACTTTATCTGGTTTGATGTCAGAGTAGTACTGACCTCTAAGAATGAGTTAGGAATTGCTCTTTATTTTTTTGAAGAGTTTGAAAATTATTGATGCTTATTCTTCCTTCCTTCCTTCCTTCCTTCCTTCCTTCCTTCCGTGCAGAATGATGGTTTTATTAAAGCATGGGTGTTACTGGATTTTTTTCTCTGTCGGTGCCTGTGATTCTTGGTCAAGGGGCTTTGAAGAATGGAGAGGTAGACCAGACAGAGTGGTGGGCAGCAAAGCAAGGTTTATTGAGCGATAGCAAAGTGATAGTACAAAGCTCCCGAGGAGGGGGAGGGGACCTGAGAGGGTTGCTCTGTGCTCATTCTTCTATAAATGTTTGCTGGAATTCACATAGGAAGCCATCAAGTCCTGATTTTTAATGTTTTTTTTAAGAACTGATTTAATCTGTTTACTCGTTCCAAGTCTGTTTAGGTTTTCTATTTCTCTTTGAGTCAGTTTTGGTAGTGTGCATATCTTTCTAGAAATTTGTCCATTTTATGTACATTGTCTCATTTGTTGGCGCCACACACACACACACACACAAACACAAACACACACAAATCATAACAACCAAAAGTGGAAACAACTCAAATGTCTGTCAGCTGCTGAATGGATAAACAATGTGGTATTACAATGGGAATATTATTCAACCATAAAATGGAATGAAGTACTGACATATGCGACCTCATGGATCATCCTTGAAAACATGGTAGGTGGGGTGAAAAAAAACAGTGAGAAGAGACAATATATTATTTAATTCCAATTATATGAAATATCATAAACAGGCAGATTTATAGAGATAGAAAGTAGATTAATGGTTGCTTAAGGCTAGGAGGAACAGGCAAAAGGGAATAATAGCTAAAGAGTATGGGGTTTCTGTTTGAGATGATCGAAAGGTTTTAAAATTTACTGTGGTCATGGTTGCATGTATCTGTGAATATCTAACTGTACTCTTTTAATGGGTTGGTTGTATGGTATATGAATTATATCTCAGTAAAGCTATTTTTTAAAAAAGTTTATAATGTCTTTTTACATTGTACCTTTTTATTTCTATAAGGTTGGTAGTAATGTCCCCATTTTCATTCCTGATTTTAGTAATTTGGTCCACTCTTTTTTTTTTCCTTCATCAATCTAGATAGACTTACCAGTTTTACTGACTTTGGATTTCAGTGATTCTGTTATTTTTCTATTCTCTAAGTTAACTCCACTGTAATCTTTATTCTTTCCTTTTGCTTGTTGTTGGTTAAGTTTCCTTTTCTTACCTTTTTTTTTTTTTTTTAAGATTTATTTTAGAGAGGTTGGGAGGTAGGGAAAGGAGAGGGAAAGAATCTCAAGCACACTGCCTGCTGAGCATGGAGCCCACTGTGGGGCTCGATTCCACGACCCTGAGATCACGATCTGAGCAGAGATCATGACCTGAGCTGAAATCAAGAGTCAGATGCTCAACGAGCTGAGCCACACAGGTGCCCCTAAGTTTGGTCTGCATTTTAGTATTTCCTTACTTTGGAGGATGGGATATTGATTTGAGATCTTTCTTCTTTATTATAATGTTGACTTCTGTAGCTATATAT